GAATTAATTTTTGTGAAAGACCTAATTTTATATTTTTTCTAAATTGTTATGCTATCCCACATTATTTGTTGAATAATCCATTTTTTCCTTAATCATTTAAAATGACACTTTCATTACTTTCTCAACATATATTTGTGTTTCTGGATTCTCAGCTCTATTAGAGATTTATTTTTGGCATCAGTCACCTGAGTTTTTAACTTGGTTCACTAAATGGTAGCTGATTTTGTCAGCCAAGATAATAAGTGTGTTGCTTATGAGACAATAGACAATATAATTCATGACATATGAATCTTATTCTAGTTAACTTTGATTTATATCAATTCCATTATCTACAACTTAAGAGTATTAAAAATGTGTAAACTTAGTTCTCAGATGAGTTCCTCTTTTTTAGGGAATACTTCACAGGCTCAATGTCAAGGTAGGAGGCTTTCTCCCTCCTTCTGAAAGTATTATTTGATGTTAAAGCTTTCTGGTGATTTAAAGTTGTTTCCTGGAAGTATCAAAGCATTTTCACATGGCATGACAATATTACTGTTGATTTATATAAACCTTTCATTCAACAAATGATATCAGGTTCACAAACTATAACATATACTCTGAATAAACAATATGGCGCTTTAACTTTTACACTGACACTGGGCTGAGCTCATTGGAGCACACAAATCATGTTTCACTCATCTTTCTATCCCCAAACATCCAGTACAAGGTGCAGCACCTAAATTGAAATAGAATTAAATTGCATGTCAACATTTTTTTCTATAAAATAAAAGTGAAACCCAAAGTTCTTGAAAACTTCACTTATAGGGATAACAAAGTCATACATGTTTCTTTCTAGTAAGAAAACAAGAATTACACTGACTTGCTATTATTTCAGTCTCAACTTTGGGGAAAATGTTCCCTTGCTGTCTCTGATCTTTCTTCGGGTATGACCTATCTATAGATATGTTGCACGCCTGTGAAATGACAGCAAGAACTGTGATCTGGATAACATTTGGATTGCAGCAGGCAAAAGTACTTTACAATTGTTATATGGAAATACTGTAGGCATGCAAAAGAATGAAGAGACAAACTCAACTTTTCCATAGAAAAGTTGAACTGTGGCATTTGCCTGGTTTTAAAATTCAGTTGTTTTTATGATTTAAGTTAGCACACCTTTTCCTTCCCTCCAAAGGGATGTAAATATGGCTTCTGTGGACAATGTCATAGTCTGTAAACTTAAGATACTCTGGACTCATGACAGAAGACAATGGGAAAATTCCCCAAACTGCCTAGTCTATCAGTTTCCCTGCTGAGAATGAAAAATAAAGCCAACTCACTCACCAACCAGGTATGTTGAATGAATTCAACAACTAAGTGGACTGTGCCATTTCAAAATACCAGCTTCTTACTTTGCCATCACCAATCTGAAAATCTGTCTTATTTTTCTTATTTGATGATTCCATGGGGGAAAAAAAAGCAAGAAGGTCTGTCAACTTTAACTTGCTTCCGAGTGCCTCACTTAGCATTTTCATCTGTGAACACAGCATGTCATACCAATTTTACTCCACAAAAGATATAGTTACAATGGCACTTTTATAAAGTAATCCTTGCAACCTATGAAGGGAAGCCATACATTTAAAGAGATCTTGCTGTAGAAATTCTGTGAACTGCTACAGAAATACATGACAAAGATGTATTCTGAAATGTTGAAAAGGAGTAAATAGGGTACAAGTATACATCACTAAATAATAAACTATTAGTATTGCTAGAAAATAGAAATATGGATTATTAAGATGCTTGAAGCGGGAGGTGGGAGAAAAGGTCTGGTTTTGGATAGGCAGGGGACTTATTAAAAAGAAGCCTGCTAGACTGACCTATATCAAAGAACCAAAGGCTAAAGCCCAGCAAAACCTATCCTGCCTTGGGCTGTCAATACCTGCCGTGGGGCCAGAACCCATATTATCCTTATCAGGAAGCAAGGAATAGATTTTAGGAAAAGGCTTTGGAATCATCTTAATCTTAGTCACCATAAAAGGATTACATTTAGTTTACCTTTAGGGTAGAAGTGACACAGAGCCATAGTGACAGCAAAGGTTCCATTCCCCCAACTCTTTTGTTAAATTCTTGAAATTCCTTTAACAGAAAACAAAGACTTTCGTTTCACAGATTTATGACTGTTGGAAGGAAAAGACTGGGTCAAACTTTGAAGTCTGAGTTGGGACTCTTTGTTCTTGGAGAGACAAGAAAATAGGCAGCCAGGTGCAGTGGTTCACGCCTGTAATCCCAACACTTTGGGAGGCCAGGAGGTGGTGAGGGGGATCATTTGAGGTCAGGAGTTCAAGATCAGCCTGGCCAATATAGTGAAACCCTGTCTCTACTAAAAATACAAAAATTAGCTAGATGTGGTGGCACACGCCTGTAATCCCAGCTACTTGGGAGGCTGAGGCAGGAGAATCACTTGAACCCAGGAAGTAGAGGTTGCAGTGAGCCAAGATTGCGCCACTGCACTTACTCCAGCCTGGGCGACAGAGCAAGACTCTTATCTCAAAAAATAAAAATAAAAAAAAAAGGAAGTTGGCCCCTAATACCAGGAATGGAATGTTCACTGTGGAGAGGAAAATGGTACACAAAGACCCAAGACAAGCTTCCTTCGTGAGCTTCACAAAATTGCCTATGTAATTTTGCCCTTTTGTCCTTTATTTTCTAGATTATCGTCCCTCCTAAATTATTTTTCAGCTTCTAGTTTCAGCCAACCTGCCTCCCATCTGCCAGTGGAATTGTGCACGACATCTAGCACAATGTGAGCGCAATATCCCATTGTTTAAAACCATTAAATAAATCTTTCTGAATAGATAGATGCCAAACTACTAAGTCTGTGAAGTCATTGCCTGCCTGTCTCCAATGAAATTGTGGCTGTCCTAGGGGCCTTGTTTATGCTCTTAAGCCTTTGAGTGCTCTTTTCTTGTGCTTCGAACGTCCTTCCTTCTGGCTCTTACGACCTTCAAGACTCAGGTGTCACGTTTTTCGAGGAAACCTACCCTGACAAAACCATCCTTGACTACATACAGTAACAAGTATTTCTCACAGCATTATTAGTTGGTTTATTATGTCCTCAAATTGTGAATCTTGAGGGCTGGGTTTTGTCCTTTTCATAGGATTATTGAAGAAAATTGAGCCATGTCACAAAGCGCCTGCCACTGAGCCATAAAGCTTCTTTTAAAAATGTGACTTGAAATCTTAAAAATTGTTTTCACACAATTAGTTATTTCTGGTTCTGCAAAGATAAATTTTCAAGAAGAACATGTCTTGATTCTAGTTTTTATATTCCATTTTTTCAAAAAAGGTCCATGAATTACAGGTTTGGAACTTGGAATCTTTCACCTATGAAAATTATTGTGAATAATTGCAATTGTGATCCCCAATCACTGGAGGCTTGATTATAAGATGCTGCCGCAATAATTCTAATTACCATAGGATATTATAGAATTGGAAAAATTCAGCCATTTTGGACACTTAGGGGCTAAGGAAACTATTTAATGCCTTCCAACCCCTACTATTTGTTTTTGGTGTGGCAAGCTGGGAGATCACACAGGAACAACCCAAAATAAATTTTCTTTGGGGAAAGTTAGGTTTGAATTGTAGGCAATTACCATATCAAAAAAATTTCTACTTATGATTTACTGGCTAAATTAAAACAGAAAAGCTTATATGGGACCTTGGTGTGTGGACATTCCACTGAGAGAATTAGATGGCATTCCTGTAAGACTGTGCCTCCAAATTGGGATCTCAGTCAGTTAATATTTACAGCTATTTGGAGCAGGAGACTCTAAATCTCCAAGGCTGAACTGGAAGTTAACTTAAGATCCTAAACAATCAGCTAGGGGAAGGGTTGACAGTAGGGTAGTTTGGATTTTGAGGGAAGGAGGGGATGATGGGAAAGCAGAGGGCAGGCACTATAATAATTTTGCATTTTTGAACAATGCACCGTAAGTTGAGTATCTTCCCATGTTATTACACTGAAAAGCTTATGATTTAAGGCTCTTGATACATATTGCCAAATTACTTTCTAAAAGTACATAGGAAAGCCTGTCCTTCTGCATTAACTCCTGCTTCTTAGAACACTTATTACAATTCATTGAAAATATTAATTTGCATTTCTTAGGTTACTAGAGGTTGAACCTTTAGAAACTGCCATTTATATCTTCTATGAACTACCCATGTTTTCTCTCCTTTTCTATTGTTTTTAATATAAAAGTAGTAACTGCTGTTACTATTTTCAACCTTAACACATTATTCATTTCCTTGGAGACTATTACTTTGTTTGTAGTGTTTTTCCAGCCCCAGAATCAAAATGGAATCTATTTTCACAAAAATCTCAACTCTAAGATTCTCCACCTGTATCAAATATCACGTATCACAGTTAGCACTGGAGGGGCACAACCAGCAAACCTTTTGGTTAATTCAGTCCAACAGTGAAGTTTCACATTCCATTAGCTCACCTGTAGGGGTTCTACTGGGAATTACCACACATCCTTAGGGTTGCTTATTCAAGCCTATGTACTCGGTTCCTTTAATTATTTGTTATTCATTAACATTTGTTCAATGTCTTGCAGCACAACTACAATAGAAAATATTTGGCAATCTCATGTACATCCCAATTTTATGCCTCTTGTTTGTGGCTAATCTAATTTTTATTTCAAATGAACACGTCTTTTAACAAGGAGATTGGTTCTCATTAACTGATTAGCTAGCTGGCTACAGACGCAGCACATGTTAATTTCTACAGGCACCTTTCTGTATTCAAGTAAAAGTTTGGTAGACGAGGATTTCCTACTTAAGTATCACTAACATAATATGAATATTGAGTACAAATATTGCTCACTATTCTTGCATTCTTTAAATTGTTTTACTTTGAAAATTTAAGAACTCTCAGTAAGTCATTAATAACAGATCTTTAAGGAATATTTTGAATTGTGAAAATACAAATCTAGTCAAATTTTGAACACATATAGAGCCAAATATTTCAACAAAACTGCAGTTTAATTTCAGAAAATGTGTTAAAATATATATTTATACATCAATTTCTGACATATACTTAATGTGTTAGTATACACAAAATGATGCTTTCTTTTGAAACTGTATTTATGAAATGTACATTTTAATTTAAATACTCAGTATACACTGCACTTAATCTGCATGTTCCATTTATTAAATACATTAAAATCTGCAATGTAACAAAACGTTTTCTGCATACGAAATTCAAAACACCATTTTAAATGAACAAAAGATGGCTCACTTTTTTTTTTTTTTACAACTAGTGTATTGTACACTAGCTCAGCTCCACCAAACTACCTGTTCGTTCTCTTTTATTTGACATTGTTCACAGACTAGTACATATTACAATAAGAGTGCTGGATAAAAACATGAGGTACGAAAGTGGTTCAAAGATTATATAGGTCATGCAGATCATGCTAGACAGCAAAGAAAATTGTGACTGAGAAAACACTAAATAAAAATACATAAAGAATGTGCATTATAAAAAAAAAAAAAACCAAACTCCATTACACAGCTTTGCTTCTTTGGTTACAAAGTAGGTTGAACAATTTCACAGCTTTTTATTCCCACCCGAAAAAAAAAGTCATACGAAATGTTGAAAAGCAGAGGAATTGTGGCAATTTCTCTCTTAGAAAGTAGAAACAAATGAACAAAGTTTTCTTCATCAAAATAGCCCAATTATTTATTATATCACAATAACTGGTGACTACCTGTACAGTTGCACTAATGTTCTTCATACTTACACTATACAAAATTTACATTCAAGCTGGGTCTTTACTACCGAAAATAAATACCAAAAGTAAATTGCCATTAGTGTTAGAAATATGCCAGGATTCTTTTGTTCAATTATTGCCTAAACGTTTTATCTATTAAATGCAATCCTGTCTTTCACTTCCTTTACTGATACTTATATTCAAAAAAATTAAAAAAGTTCTGTGACATTGTTCATGTACATTATGAAAATAGCAGCCCTGTAATAAATAAAACACAAATAAATGAAAACCTATGTAGGCAAATGTTACTGATATTGAAAGAAAAGTGGCTCTTTAGATGAACTGTTATTTATAATGTGATAGGAAGGCTCAGGGTAAATCCATGGGTAATAGGAAACATGGGAGAGCCACCAAAAACTCTTAAAGACCCCACTCATGCGCACCAGGTAAAATGCAGACTTTGCTCGCTTTAATAAACCCCATCTATTATTCTCCTTGTGTACTGATGACATAGAACTGGACATCAACAGCGCTGCATGACATCTCAGAGAGAGGAAAAGCTCTTGTAGAATGATTGTCTAATACTGAAAAGGCCAAACACACAACCAAAGCATGGCTACTTGCTTTCGTATAAAGTGGAAAGAACACCAGTGGCACACAAGGATAGATTGCTTTCAGTTTTTTCTTAATGAGGCTTAAGAAAGCTTTATGCTGAGGAGACATTCGGCTGCTGTGGAGGTTGCGTTGGCTGCGGAGGCTGTGCTATCACTGCTTGCTGTTGAGAAGTGCTACCAGGATTGGCCTGTTGGGTTGGGAGTTGGGATAATTGATCATTGTTTGAAAGAGATTTTAACAGTGCATTTTCTCGTTCAAGTAAAGAGTTTCTTTCAACTAATTCTTTTATTTGTTCCTTTAAAACTTCCACTTCTTCTCTTACTGCATACATCAAATGGCTTTTCACCAGATCCTGTGAAAAACAAAATTAGGAATGTCAAAAAGAATGAAAAGGTAAAGGTGGTGCTATCTGGTTCTGGCCTACTTGGTGTCTTATAAGTTTTTATGTTAGTTTTCCTGCTATTGCCTTTAAGGTTTCTGCTTCATCTTGACTAGGCCTATGGAAGATAGGTTGGAAAAAATCCAGTTACCAATTACAGCAGTAAGCCCAGAATTTAATCTTTTCAAAGTTTGGGATGATTTCCAAAAAATACTAGCTACCTAAATTGTCAACTATAAGCTTAGAATTAAAAAAAAAAATTTAAAATCACATGTTTAAAATGGTATATCAAGAGAACAAAGAACAATATTCCAGCGGAAAGCTGTTTGATGTTAACTAATTGTATTACTGCTTTAGAGATAAAGTGACCTGTAATTTCAGACTTTAAAATTGTAGGATTAAAAAAATATATACTTTGAGACTAACAGTCCTGTAAGGTCTCATGCCTGTAATTACAGCACTTAGGGAGGCCGAGGTGGGTAGATCACCTGAGATCAGAAGTTTGAGACCAGCATGGCCAATATAGTGAAACCCAGTCTCTACTAAAAATACAAAAATTAGCCAGTTGTGGTGGTGTGTGCCTGTGGTCCCAGCTACCGAAAGCTGAGGCAGGAGAATCGCTTGAACGTGGGAGGCGGAAGTTGCAGTGAGTCAAGATTGTGCCACTGTACTTCAGCCTGGGCGATGGAGCGAGACTATATATCAAAACAAACAAAAAAACCCAATTTTTTTTTTGTAGAGACAAGGGTCTTGCTATGTTGCCAAGGTTGGTCTCAAACTCCTGGCCTCAAGTGATCCTCCCATCTCAGCTCAAGTGCTGGGATTATAGACAATCCACTGTGCCTGGTCTATTCATAGCTTACTTACAGCCTACTTGAATCAGACTTCTAGGTATTTTTGCTTTAATACTCTTTTTGCTCTAAAGTATTTTCAATGCTGAAATATTTGGGGAACATACTGTCTTTATGTATGCCCCCTCACCAATGACTCTTATCAATTATAATGATATGTGAGATGGTCAACTAGGAGAAATATTTACTCAATTGGTATTTCTAGACTAAACATTCTCAATGTTCTAGCATCTTCAACTAAATCTCATTATCAAAAAACATGATTTGGTAATCTTTGGTTTAAATAAATTGTTTTCTAAAATTGATAAAAGCTAAGTGTTCCATACAACCAACAATCTATGAAATAGGAAAACTGTAAACTTTTACTTACCATTGCTTGTTCTATTTTGTTGTCAATGGCTACAACACCTCCCCCAGATGCACTGGAAAAAATTAGAATATGTTATTAAATTGTTCTTAAAAATTTTACCTTCCTTCCAACTCTTAAAAGAATGTAAAAGACATTTGTGTTTCACTTAAAACTAAATATGTAATTTAAAATAGCTTATTAAGTCTGTTCTGACAATTTCAGTACTCAAAAGGTCTAATTTCTAAAATGAAGGTCTCAGTAAATAGATGACTTCTACAAGTCCTTTGTAGTGACAAAATATCTAATTTGCTTGTGATATACTTATGCTACTTTAAAACTCCCAATTCTATTAAGACTTTCTCCTGTTTAGTGGTTTTTTTTTTTGAGATGGAGTTTCGCTCTTGTTACCCACGCTGGAGTGCAATGGCGCAATCTCGGCTCACCACAACCTCCGCCTCCTGGGTTCAGGCAATTCTCCTGCCTCGCCTCCTGAGTAGCTGGGATTACAGGCACGCACCACCATGCCCAGCTAATTTTTTGTATTTTTAGTAGAGACAGGGTCTCAACTGTGTTGACCAGGATAGTCTCGATCTCCTGACCTCGTGATCCACCCACCTCGGCCTCCCAAAGTGCTGGGATTACAGGCATGAGCCACTGCGCCCGGCCCTGTTTAGTGGTTTTAAAAGGACACATTTTAAATGGGCAGTGCCCTCTCCTTATCTCTTAAACTTCTTCACTAATCAACTATATATTTTAATTGCATTTCATGTAAAAATTCCAATGTAAAATTCAGATGATGGCTTGACTTTTTTTTTCTAGTCCCTGCTCTTAATAAGACTTTTCTTATAAGTTTTATACTTTATCATCTAGTTAAAAAAAATTAATGGCTTCTAAAAATGATTCATAGAGCTTTTGGGCAGGATTGGTTAACAAGAAACTCAATATTTGGCTGAGTGCCGTAGCTCACACTTGTAATCCCAGCACTTTGGGAGGCCGAGGTGGGCGGATCACTTGAGGCCAGGAGATCGAGACCAGCCTGGCCAACATGTTGAAACTCCGTCTGTACCAAAAATATAAAAAAATTAGCTGGATGTGGTGGCAGGCGCCTGTAATCCCAGCTACTCGGGAAGCTGAGGCAGAAGAATCGCTTGAACCCAGGAGGCAGAGGTTGCAGTGAGCCGAGATCACACCACTGCAATCCGGTCTGGGCAACAAGAGCAAAACTCCATCTCGAAAACTTTTTAAACAAACTCAACATTTTGGCCAACCTACAAGTCTTTGATTGTAGGTTACTTGCTGGAAAAGATCACCCAATAAGGTATGTGGGTTTAGATCAATTTTTCCTGGAAATAACTGAAAAGTTATCTAGCCTGTAAACACATCCCAAGTTCAAATACCACCTTAGCAATTGTATGATAATATCACAGAAGGCTAAATAATTGTCCTCTTTGGTGGTTTATATTCTATCATGTATTAAGTAGTAAGAACAGCTGGAATTTATATCTTTTTCTTTTTTTAAATTTTATTTAAAATGTTATTAGGTTTTAAAATTACTCTTATAAAGAAAAATCTGAAACTTTAGCTTATTGTATCAATACAAAAAGATAATTTTTATATGTTACTAAATACTTTTCATAAAGTATACTCCACCTAAGAAGATTTCAGAGCTAAAATACCTGGAGACTACTTTACTTTAGATGGTGTGGACCCACAATGTTATATCATTTTGAGGCTCAAAAATACTCTGTCCTATGTAGTTGTGCCTTTTATGTTGCAATCCAAGTAGAAATGGTTATAATCCTGGTTCTGCTATTCAATTCCTATATGACCATCAGCAAATCACGTATTTAACTTCCCTGGATCTCAATGGACTTTCCACTTCTAAATCCTTGAAACCCTGAATCATTACATGGACCACTGCGTTTATTTGAGCATTAACCACATTAATTACAGTATACTACCTTCACTTCTTGCTGCTACTATTTCTAAGATGAAAAGAGGGTTTGTATACCTAATATCTAGAAAGGATTATGGATCATTAACAAATACTTTATATGTGCTGCGCTTTAAATGACTGTAGTGAGCTGTGCAAATTATGCCTATATGTAACTATAAACTATAGAACCACTATGTAAACCACAAGGCTTTAGTGTGTACTTCAGTGCCAGATACCATGTAGATATATTCACCACAAATACTAAACACATTTTGGAAAAAAGACAGTGACAGGTATTTAGATTAGTTTGCTTGAGAATCTCAAAAATATACTTTCTGTATTTTTATTTACATGGCAAAGAAAGACTGAATTAAAGTAAGTCATTTCATGACTTAAATCATTTGATTCCTTCAACACATTTGGTTTAAATAGCATACTTTAAATGCAAACTACAATACCAGTTTTATATACTAACAAGCAGTAGAAAACAAAACCCCAAAACCCTCAAAAAAGGGTTTACTGGGTTTTTTTTTTTTTGATAATTAAAATCAGTCAGGAAGTTTTAAAATCATTCCCATAGCTAAGAATAATTAGCATGCTATTCTTTGAATGCTGAGCTAACAAACTCTTGTCCTAAGACCTTTTTTATGACAACAGAAGAAACAGGTTTGCAAGGTAAAAATAGATCATGATGAAGATGTATCCCTTAAAAGGTATTAGTATTTCAACTCTGTTAGGTGTTGTACTCTAACAGAATATCAAATATAATTATTAATCACTATAGTGACCTTTAATTGTCTTGAAGGCTATTATATAAGAATTCTATAACCTACTGCAGTGGTCTCAAACTTTAGCATGCATCAGAATCATCTGGAGGTCTTGTTAAAACACAGATTGCTAGGCTCCGCTTCAGAGTTTCTGATTCAGTAGGCATGAGGTGGAACCAGGAATCTGCATTTCTAACAAGTTCCCAGATGATGTGGAATCTACAGTTTGACCATGCTTTGAGAACTGCTGGCTTACAGATGAAAGTTATAGGAGGAAAAATTAAGAAGCCTAATTCTATTTTTAAAACTTCTTAGCCTGGTATATAAAAACCTTTATGACTTTGACCTCTGCCTTATACAGTCTGTTTTCCTCATCTATCTCTACCTATTGTGTTATGATCTTATATAACTATTTGCAGTCTGTGGAACATATATTCTCTTGAGTTTCCTTGGCTTTGCAGAAATTGCTCCCTCATCTGGAAATGCTCACAGTTCTAACTCATCTGGCTATCTTACACATGTCCTTTAAGATGCTCTAGTGCTATCTCTTCTGTGATGCTGTTTGATTTTCTAAGGTAGAGCCAATTACTCCATCCTTTCTGGGGTCTACCAATCTTCACCAATTTTTTACAGTGCAAAAATAGCAAATTCTGGCTCCTCCATATACTTACTGTATGAATTCTGGGAAATTATTTAACCTTTCTAGACCTCAGGTTTTTTATCTAAAATAAGGATTATATACCATTTGTGAGGTTTAAATGAGTTTAATGCTCAGCATTGTACTTGGCACACTGAGCACGCAATACAGACAGTGATTACTTTGAGTATTATAATACTACCGCTGTTGATCCTATTAGATTGAGTTCCTTGAGGGAAGTTCCTTAACTTCTTCAGCTTTTCGAGTAAGTGAATCCAGTGGTTGGCACATAGTAACTGAATGTATACTGATAGTAATTGGATTTGAAACAATTAATGGTTCATATGAGAAAGGCATTAAAATTTTTTGAGCTCAGATAAATCAGTTCTCAAAGTGTAATCCCTGAACCAGAAGCATCAGCATCACCTGGAAACGTGTTAGAAATGTAAATATTTGGACACACCCCAGAATTAATTACTCTTGGGGTGGGGACTGTAATCTATTTTAACAAACTCTCCAGGCAATTCAGACAGAAACTAAAGTTTGAGAACCACTGCTTTAAACGGCCAGTTTTACAGTGAAGATACCAATATGGTAGTCTTACGCAAATAAGATATTTTAAGATCCCAGAATATGGTTTAAAAATATTGTTTCAATGAGGTTATCACATGTTTTCTATTATGTTCAAAGTTGTCATAGTGAGATTTGACTCTCTCTTAAAAGGAAAAAGGTCAACTGAAGCAGAATCAGTGATTTCCTTCCTTCACCTGATGTTATAATAATATACCTCTTCTTTTTAATTATTACATTCAGCACCTTATATTTTGATGGTTAACCAATTTCCAAACTTAAGCTCCCTAAGAAGAGCTTAAGTGCTGTCATTACTCCCAGCACAAAGTATATAAACCAAATAACCCTGTAATGGTGGTAGTATAAGTAAATCATGTATTTCAGATTAGTGTATATATGTATATACAATCAAACTGAAGTAATTCAATTTTAAATCAAGTGTTATAATTACTGCCACAGAAGCATGAGAGAAAAATGAGTTTAGAATTTTCCTTTTTAAACTATCAGGGTAAACTGTAATTGCTAAAGTCAAAAGGTAATTTTTTAAAATAAACTTTCTATTTACTATGAATCATTCTTTCAATAAAAATCAAACCTTTGTTAGCATTTATAGATGCATTAAAAATTGTGGATATGGAGAGAATGAACAGAAATAGAGAGATGTGGAAAGTAAGAAAGACTTCTATAAGAAAATACTTAATTATTGGAATTGCTGCTCCAAAACAACGAAATGAGCTCGAATTTAGTGTTTAAATAAAGCTAATTATAATTACATTCACAGAAAAAGTAAAACTCAAAGTATCAATGCTACAGTAAGACAGGGTGGCTTTCCATGCTATTCATCTTTTAATTGACCCTAATGGGCTCCCCACACCACAGTTTTTCTTCCTAGGTCTCCTTACTCTTACCATGAGATCACTTGCAATGTTACTGAGAAAGCAAGAGGACAGATAAGAATTTCCAACTTCACAAATTAAAATTAGTAAAGGTAACCTAACTTGATTTTTTTTTTTTAGACGGAGATTCCCTCTTGTTGCCCAGGCTGGAGTGCAATGGTGTGATCTCAGCTCATGGCAACCTCCACCTCCCGGGTTCAAACAATTCTCCTGCCTCAGCCTCCTGAGTAGTGGGGATTACAACATGCACCACCACACCTGGGTAAT